CGAGACGGCCCTGTGGGCGCTGGAGCTCAGCCCCTGGCGCCCTACCCCTTGTGTGGGCGAAGGGGGCGCGGCCAGCCTGCCTCCCCCAAATCACCTTCCCACTTAGGGCCCAAATCCGGCTTCTTTTTGACTCGCTGCTGGACCCACGGGGGACGGTGTTACTCTCGCGCAAGACCCCAGCCCCTGGGGGGCTTTCATGGAACGTCAGGCTTAAACTATAGTTGATAACACATCTTAATAAATTTCCCAGTAGAATAGGGTAGGGTCAAGAAGACGGTAGTTGTCCGACCGAGGATCTTTACACATCTCAGCTGGGTCAAAGGACAAGCGTTTGTCTCGCTCTCTTGGGGGGAAAGTGAGAGTTTGGAAGGAAACTTTCCGCTCCCCTCCTTTCTCTCCTAGGATCTGTTCTACCCCTGGAGTACGTGCTCCCTCGCCTGGGACTTCCTTTCCCCTTTCCCCTTTCGGCTTCTTCAACCTCTTCACCTTTGTTCTCAGGTTTCCCCTCCCCCGCCTCGGCAACCTTTCCAGCCAGACTCGCTCTCCGTCCCCTCAGTTATTCTTCACGAACAGTCTTCCCTTCCTCGCTCTCCTGCCCCCCTCGCCCTCCTCCTCCTTCCGGCCAACCCCTGTCCCTACCACCCTACCCCAGCTGTCCTTTCGCCCAGCACACCTACGTTCCTGCTCCCTGTGCCACCTGTTCTTCCTGAATGCCCCTAGACAGTCACTGCCTCCCCGCGCTACCCAGTGCCCCTCGCGGCCCTCGGATAGTCCGGAGCCCGTCTTAAGCCAGGTAATCCGGAGAACCCGGGCGAGAGCGGGTGGGGGAGGGTAGGCGGCGCGGGGCGCAGCGGGCTCACTCTAACTCGGGAGTGATGGCTCTGGCCGGACCCGCCCCCTGAGCCCTCGGATAGGCGGATGCTCTCCCTGTCCCGCCCTCTCCCGCCCTGTTCTGCCGCCAATTGGTCCAGGTGCGTGTCGGGTTGGGCGGCGGGGCCCTGGCGTTTTCCCCCGGGAAGGCAGCAGGGGCGGTTGAGAAGTGAAGTCTTAGCCAGAGTTTGCCTCTTGCCAGGAAATCTGCAGCGGCCGCGGCGGCGGTGGCGGCAGCGGCTCCCGGCC